TCGAATTAATTTGATGGCCTGCTCCCAGTTGGCTTGTTAGCTCAATTGGTAGAGCGCTGCACTAGTATCGCAGAGGTCAGTGGTTCGAATCCCGTACAGGCCTGAAATTTTTTTCAGGTCTGATTTTCACTACTGCTCAAATAGTGCTTTACTGCGAAGGATCGTTCTCATATAAGTAATGGTTCTGTTTCTTCCGATGAGGGGTCTACGAATGATTGTTGTAGTGTCGAGGAGAAATATTGGATATACTGCACTCCGTGTGACAAAGTAGAGCCACGTGCAACCAAGGAAGAGGCTGTCGCTTTTGAGGAAAACATTCAAACCTGGCTAGTGAAGAAATGAGGGAGCTAGAGCTTCGAAAGCGCCTTACTGGTGACGCAGAAGTTCATAATACAAATTTTAGCACATGTTCTTAGTTAAGGTTTCGTAGAAGGATAAAAATATCTCTTGAAAGGCTACATTTATTGTTATAAGGTGTCTTCGAGCAGTACTCTTCCAGCCCGTTTACCCTTGTTCTTATTTCGCTGGAAGTTCAAATCTTTTCTCTTCGTTTTGTAATGTCTTAAGGCTGTTATGCAATGCTTTTCCTAGCGAAACCGTGGTATATCATGGTTTCGAAGAAAATCAATAGGCTGTTTATTTCTATGAATTTTAACCTACCCCAGAAGAACATGGAAGACGGCAGTTGTACTTGAAACATTTCCCGGCGACGACAGACTCACGAGGAAAGCAAAGATAAAAACAGCAAATGCAGTCTACGACAGACCCATTCACAAATTATGCCTAATTGCTACCAAAGAGGAATTAGATAATCTGACTTAAGTAAATCAACACCTAAAATTCATTAAGCTGCTCAGTCTAATTAATTGAAATTTAATTATACCTCCGCAATGGGGGGGAGTGTTTTGCATAATGCACATATTTTACATATTTTTGTGAAAGTATAAATAGATATGTGCCTCGCTTCAAAAGTCAGACAAGAAGGCAACCAGAATTGTAAGTAGTTTAGTAATTTTCTTGTAACTTTTGTAACGCAGTTAGTTGTATCTGTAAAATATTGTAACATATATATTTTCTTTCCTTTGTAGTTTGACAAATGTAGAACAGAAAACTTAAAACGTAATTAAACTTAGTGTTTGTTAAAAAATCTGCTTCGTCTACATCTCTTCCGAAAAGATAAACATAATTATATCCAATTCACATGTATCAAGGCTGCAAATAACAGCTGGTCATCGGACAAATGTCCGGCAAATTTTGGGTCTTGACCAGTGAAAGCTGAGCCTAGTCGGACACTCTGACCCGGTATTTTTGCCACAAAGGGGTAAAAAAACTTTTCTAGGAGTTTTGGCCAAATATGAAACAAGTTAATTTTTTTCAATTAATTTGGTTCTTGGAATTCATTTTATCGCGCAAGAATGTCAAGTTGAACTATAAACATACAACACCAGCTAAGCGCTATACCTATGTGTTATTAGTTTGCCCATTTTGCAGCAGCGTCAGAAAGATTGTTGAGTCTGATTTAGTCAGAATTACCCGTGTGTAAGCCGCACTTTTTTTCCAAAAATTTTTGCTAGAAATTGGGTGTGCGGCTTATCTGTGGGAACATTTGAAAAAAGTGTTTTGAATATCGACGCCATTTGCCGTTAACTGACACTTTTATGGAAAACTATGTAAATATTACACAAATCTACAAGTAGTACTAGTCATTGCTTTTGTAAGTTTGGTTGCTCTTAAAGGAGTCGTTGTTCATGAAAGCGTGAGCTTTAATATTACAGCACTTACAGCTAACGTTGTTGCCCTAAAAGCATTAGACCATCTTCGATAATAGATCCTTTAAGTGGTGTATGGTCACTTTTCTCCAACAGGAAAATGTCAGACAGCATGGAGTTTCCATTCCCCCACGCACCTGTTTGCAGCATCCACGACAGCCTGTAACTTCAACCATAATCAATCCTCCACAAGCAAGAAAATACCGCGCTATTCTCGAGTTTTCGCATGGTAGATGGCCTACTGTTTCTTCACCGTTTAGCACTTTTATAGCTTAATTTGTCAAAATTATTATGAAACTTTCTTTTTACTATAAGTTTATCCCGCATCTGAACTAATGACTGGTTGCTACCGTTCAACTGTCCAGCTCACATTCTTTTTGTAATGCAAAAATCTATGGAAAACTGTGTTGAATGAAGAAATTCCAGTCAACAAATACCAGAAAAAGACCTTTATGTCAAAGTTGGTAGAAACAATGTTCATTATACTAAGTACTAAAATTGTGGGTAAGACTAAAGTATTTTCCATTGCAATGTTATCATTGAGTTTATGTTCGATGAACAGTGGATGATGAATAAGAGTTAACTTTGGATTTCTTTTGATTTCTTCCAAAAAAACTTTTTTGCAACAATTTGAGCTGCTAAATTCAGGGTGCGGTTTATATGCAAGTGTGGCTTATCTCTGGGCTTTTACGGTACCTTGGACTTAAAAAAATTATCAAAATCTGAGCTCTCGTGTTATTGCTTGCCTGTAATTATTTACAAGTGTTGTTTCAGTTGTAATTTAACCTGCAGTTAAAATGGTCTACAAATTGCATACAGAGAACCATGTTTATCTGGATTCAATACCTTTCAAAAACTTGAAAAACTCTTAAACATAACCAATGCTTTTCTAGTCCACATGATTGCAAATCAGTTTTATAGCTCTTAACAGCTGATGTCAGTGCAGTGTGTAGACTTGTGCTGGGTTTTTTTTCCTGAAACATCATTCGCCCATCAACTATTCGCTTAAGTGTACTGATGATAAATAAATTTTATTTCATGGCTACAGCTGTTCATAGTACTTTTATCTGGCACAGATTCAACCTTTATTTTAAATGAATTTGTCTGAAGAGACTCTCTCTTTAGAAATGATGAGGAAGACATAGACACAGTTTGATTCTCCATATATAAACACAAACTTTCTTTAATTTTAGTTATCGAATATTATTGCAAGATGTAACAAATCCTTCTCCAAAAAGGAACTGGAAGGATCTGTACTGAAATACCAAAAGAAAATTAATGATGTAAATGTCTCTATTTTTAAATTTCTAAAGACCCAAAAATTTTTGTTCAACCATTCTGGCTTTTTGTCCAATCAAAAGTTATCCTTGGTCTGACAAATGATCAGTGCTTATAATCAAAAATTATTTGCAGGCTAGCTTGTATTGAGAAAAAAACATTTTATTACTAATTTTGGAAGTTCAGTGATGGCTTTCACTGCTCATGTAGAAATTATGATCAGACGTGATTGTTCATGGGAGATATTGGCCTTAAAATTCCCTTATTTTTGGGCGTTGTCAAAACCAGAAAAAGTTGTCTTTACTTAAGAAAGAGGTAATTAAGGGAAAAATGAAATGAGAAAGTTAAAACAGTTCAATGTTATTGATGTCTGATAGATTTAGAACACAACCCAGTTGATTAAATTTGCAGAAGGCTATTCAGTTTGTCACTAATTAATTATGCAAAAAGTGTAGGAAATGGCAGTTTTCCCTGGGGGGACCCTTGATCTCCCAGGGAATTAGATATTTTAACCCATTACTTTCAAACATTAATTGTTAAATCATGATACTTAGCATTTGAGCCAGGTTTGAGCCAAATTGATGATTTCAGCATCATTGCTGCCTGCCCAGTTTTCTTGTGGACATATGCTCTCAAATGAACGCAAAATTGCTTGATAAAGTAAGGCAATGACAAAAAGCAACTTAGTTATCCTAAATGTCGGGCCTGTCATCCTCTTTGTAGACATACAGTATAAATGGGCTGCTATTAGGTTTATTATCTTTTTTCACTGACACTTAGCATGGTCTACTGCTTTCATTATAAAAAAACTTAAGGTTGTAAGACAAAATGACAAAATCACTTTATTCAGGGTTATAATGAGGTTGAAGTATGGAAGAGTTGAGTTTTCAATTCAAAATATTATATGCCACTGCATTTTTTAATTTTTTGTGCTCACTCCAGTTGACATAAGTTTGGACTGAAGCAGAAAATTGTTTCTTCCCTTGAGTGGCAAGTAGCGATGGCAACAGTTTGTTCAATTCTGCATAAATTCAAACTCAACTGAATTCTGCTTTAAATATGGCAATAAATTTTTTTATCTTCCTGGACTAGCTTTCTCATGCAGTAAAAACCAATCCATGGCCAGGCCAGACAGCAAATCAATACTTTTAAAGGCAGATGAATTTCTGACCTACACTGTAACTCTCACTTTATGGTTTTAAAACTCAATCATGCTTTACCTAGCATTGTTTACAGACTAGTAAACAACATTCTTATGTCACTGCTTCCTTACAAGAGCATGGCCAACAGCACCCAAAACCTTAGAAATTAAGATAAAACCTCAAACAAAACTCTCCACATGTAACAACTTACCTAAAACTGTAACATTTACTTGATGATCACCAATAGGAGTACCACCAAATTGTACACTGTACTCAATCTTGTATGTTCCTTCATCTTCTGTCGTGACATTCTTGATGAGTAATGTGGCTTGAGAAATTCTGACAATCTCAATATGTGGGGCTCTGGGTTCAGTGTAACTAGGTGTACCAACGAGATTTAAAAAGGTTGTGGAAGCAATCACATCATCATCTGAACTTGTCTGATTAAACTTTTTCCACTGAATAAGATACAATGTCTGACTCTTACTCTGTTCATCAGCAGTTAGAGTGAACTTCCATGTTAGTGACAAGTCTTCTCCTTTTGTTACAAATGTTACATTGGCTGGTTGCACAGTCCAGGTGAATGATTCTGCAAGTTAAACAAAAAAAAGCATTTTCTTATAATTCAATCAAAATAATCTTAACCTCACCATGTGTCTTTTCACAAAACTCTTGTTTGAGTAATTTTTTTTGCTTTGCATACTTACATTGATCCTTGGTGACAATAAATCATATACTTTAGGTTTTTCTTTTTCAATGTTTTTTTTTTACACTGAGGATCATTTTTCAGTTTGGAATCTTTTCCTTCACCTGTAAATATGCAACATTAAAAGGCGGCTCAGTGCAAAATTCCAACTTAATCCCCATTTTCATTCAGTATCATGATCTTCTTATAGTTTTGGCTGTGCGCAAGCTGTCAATATTTCGTGGTATTGCCGACTCACTTTTGCGGCCTGTGATTGGTTCTAATTCTGAAATTGACATCATTGCACTAAATTGGGTTGCTGATGTACACAAACAAATTACCGCCGCATTAAAATGATTGTACAAAATATTTCACTTCAAGTTCTATTTATTGAAAATTCAACTTTTACAGTCATAAACATTGTAATAATGTGACAAAGTCACTTGCCAGTTAGAAAATGAATGTTAATCTGGCAAGAATTCAAAGTGCTATTATTAATCAAACTTTCGAAGAACTGTTGCTGATTCAAAGTGGAAGCATTTACGGTGGTGGGCTTCTTTTTTGTAGACTGCAGTTGAAGATCTTGCTCGTGTTGCCAGTCTGTCAAACATTTCTTTCTGTGTTTGTATTGAATTGTGGCTGTAGGACTGGATGGAAATGGGATTAGCATGGCCAGTGAGCTCCGAAATTGCCAGAGGATCAAAATGACCACAAAGACTCTGTATGGCCGTTTTCCTATCTGACATAATTATTGGTAAAGTTACCTTCCTTTTTGATCTCTGCTTTCTCTGCCATTCATTTCGTTATGTTTGCCAGGCCGTCCCTCTTCATGGGCAGCTTCTTGTACCAGATGTTTTGCACTGTATCTATAACCCATTTTTGGTCATAAATTTCTGTACCCACCCAACAATTGCTTTTAAAGTTGGAGGCAGTTCAATTTTGTTGCATTTCTTCTCTTCACGAGGAGAACTTGCTTTCTTTCTTATCACTATCCTCAATACACAAATATCATAGGTCAATGCATGGACCCACTACCACAAGACTTCTAAAAGGCAGCCTCTCTAAAAGCAGTCTGGTGCATTTTGGTTAAAAAAATCCATTCCTTTCAAGCTTTGCCCATGAATCACTCAGACATATTTCAATTCTGACCAGCTGATCAATTTCTGTGTAGTCTAGGTCTTCATGGTGTTGTTAAGAACCAAGAAAAAGTTTCTTATTTCTTATTTATTACTCATACCTATACATGTAAATTATGTAAATTTTTATGTCACATTTGCATTTAAACGAGCTATCGCTCATATGTGATATGTGGTTAAATAAAGTTACTTACTTAAAGTTACTTAACTCTCAGACTTATGAAACTGTCATGAGTACAAAACAAGTATAATTATACCAAATGAACAATGCTTCTTTTTGTTGTTTGAAACATACAACCCTTTATTAGGTTGTTAGAAATGAACAATACTTTTAGAATTGCTGCTCAAACACATTTCAGTTCTGACCATATGATTTCTGTGTAGTCAAAGTCTTTATGGAGTTGTTAGAAACCAGCACTGCTTGAGTGATAAAGTTTTACAAGTTTACGAAATGTCTGAGAAGCAACAAAATGAGTATACTCAAAACAAACAAGGCTTTATTTTGTTGTTGAAACGAAGGGTGCTTTAAAAGTAATCTGTGGAACTTATTTGTATTCATCATTACCGTGTTTTCAGAAACAAAGAGCACTTTAGTGATTGGGACTTTTCAACTTTCTTGCCTATTAACAGTCTGTAAGTGTGATCTGATCTCTTAAGTATTTGTTTTTTTGGTAGTCCCGAGCAACCAAACTAACAAAGGATGGCTGAATGCCTTTTAGGCCCCCCAATCTGCCGTGGCATGCTGAAGGCTCCTCAGAAAGAAATACAAGCGCGGAAGAAATACTCTGTGAGTTTAGCCATCTAAGATTTCAAGATCGATTCAGTTCGATTGTCAAACTCGACGCAAAACAATCGACTGGGCGACGACTTAAGCTGAGTTTGACACTCGATCGTGTGGCGTTCATAAATTGTTGGTTTTATAACATGAAGGGCAAATAATCAGCCGCCATCAATCATTTCAGGAAGTACATGTTCAGAGTGACAACTTCCTTAGATAGGGTACTCCTAAGCATTTCGTCGACACTGAGCGGTGAGAATCTACATTACAAGCGATCGTACTTCCTTACCAGTAGAGTATAGCTGCATGAAACACACCCAGAGGAAAAGCAGTCGTCCCTTCAAATCGAGTTTCATCTTTTGAAGAAGTTTTTCACGTTAAATCTGATAAGTTCTTGTTGCAACCCCGTGGATATGCTACATATCAGCTGATTTTCTTTCACAATCGCTACACACGTCGTCGATTGACAAACCCTACTAGCTTCCGTGTTTAGATACCAATTTTCCTTTCTGCGCCTTGCGCGAATGTGCCTCAAACCGAGGAGAACTAGAAATGAATTTTCACGTTGGGCGGCTCAATGTACCGTTGCACTTGTATCCTCTTGTTGTATGTCCTCTGACGTAAGTAATACAATGGCCAATCACATCCTGTGATCTATAGAGCGACACGCGGCTTGGGACTTTATGAAGGGTGAATAGGTTCAAAAATGTCATTTGATGATTATCGGGCCGTGTCGTCGTGTTATCGCGTCGTACCGCAGTTATTGGGTGTTGTCGTCGTTTTATTGGGTCATGTCGTCATTTTATCGGGTCGTGTCGTCAATTTATTCGGTCATGTCGTCGTTTTATTGGGCTTTTCGGCTTCAGTCGTTTCATCGGGTCATGTCGTCATTTTATCGGGTCGTGTCGTCAACTTATTCGGTCATGTCGTTTTATCGGGTTATGTCATTTTATCGGGCTATGCGCCTTCAGAACGTCTTAACTGCGGTCGCACCCAAAAGATTAGTACATAGGCTCTCACGACCACATACTGTCAAAGTACAAGATGGAAGCGTCGATGGAAGCCATGACACCTGAACCGCCCATAACTGCCCGAACCTCGCGATCGCTTAGCGCGAAAACGCTTTCCCCCTACCTCCCCTACTAAGTAGAGTTTTGTCCCCAAGCCTCCTCTAAAGTTTGGAGATCAATAAGCCAATCATAATCCGTTGTTTGCGCATATATTTTGTCGACTTTAGGGGGTACTAGAGGGGCATTATTCTACGCATCTTCACTAAATTATCAAATTTGAAAATATGGC